TGGAGCGTTAACAGGAACGCGAAAAGATCGCCGACATCTGGGAGGCCCGCTGCGCCGCCACGGTCCATGAGTTCTTGGAAGACAGCGTCCAGGAGGAGTTCAAGTGAGACTTGTTCCCGAAGCTCAAGGGTCTCCCAGAGTGCTGTTTTAGTCCCCACAGGAGTGGAAAGTATCAATGCGTTTACGAGAGCTAGCAAGGGGCATGGGCCATTCGCATTTTGCAGAAGAATTGGGGAGCGGCGAAGTGGGGCATTGGGAACAGATGGGTCGGTCCAGGCAATGTGTTTAATTTGGTAGATTTCAGTGGTTGTATTTGCGGAAGGGGGCGGCGGCGGTGGTGGCCGTATATTTAAATCTGCCATCGCCTCCACTGGTATAGGCGGCACTGGCCTAGATTGATCTGGTGGAGGTATTTGGAGATCAGCTTTTACAGTACTGTCGCCACCTACAGATGACTGCGCCTTAGGAGGCTTCTGGGGACCTTCTGCGACTCCTGCAAGGCGGCGCTCTTCTTCCCAGAACTCCGCTTGTAGTCGCTCCTCTTTCTCCCTTTCCTGAGCTTCTTCGTTGCGGCGTTGAAGCTCTGCACCAGCTCTAGCACGCCTGTCGAGCTCTTCCTCCCAAGTTTTTGCAACCTCGCCTTCTTCCTCGTCCTCATTCCAACCATCCATACCGACTGCCGGGTATCCTCTCCTTCCCGGATATGCTCTTGTAGTAGATGCATCGAAGCAGGATAAATCCATCCCTGGATCGAAACCTACCGAAGAGGTTGAAGACGCAATCGAGAACTGTCTGTCTCTATCCTCAGCAGGTCTCACGGCGGCAACCGGCGGAAACCGTTGTGGCTCGGAAGCAACATTTCCTCCAGTCTGGTTTGAGTGGATAGGCGCTTTTGAGGAAGCACTAAAGTTATTAGTCGGATTGTAGAACGGCGAATATTCATTGAACGGTCTATCGTAAGAGTTGAAATTGGCGGCCATAGGAGAAGAAACTGCGCTTGTAGTTAGTAACGGTATATAGAGATGTTGAGCCCGAGATTGAGGGTCCAATTGCCCAACGATATCTTGACATAAGGGAATTAACTCACTATCTTCGCTTTGCCGCCGCTCTATTGGCGTCTTTTCGTTACCCCATATATCTTCTGAATCTTCGTTCCCTGTGACCAATGCATCATGCATCGTCGTCTCCACGCCTTTCTGCTCAGGAACGACATGTGTATTGATCTCCGGTTTCTGCTTCTCGCCTTCAGGTGCACTGTGTGTGTAAACCTCGGCATTTTCAGCTGGTAGCTTCATCTTCCCACCCCCAGGTTGCAGAGTCTCAGGTATGTCTGCCTTTTCGAAGCTCCTCCTCGGTGTCTCACCACCCCACTGCGAGCCCTCATTGCTTCCGGCACCAACTCTTAAACTATCTGGTAACATTACGCCGCCTTTCGCAGCGCTCTCGGTCTCAGGCGCATGGCTTATCGGATGAGCAGCTGGTGACCCGACTCTTAAGCTGTCCGGCCAATCTGCCCTTGCCATGGAATTACTCTCTGTGCTGGGACCACGGGTCATTTCCCTCGCTTGCGCTTCTCCGAGATCTTGTGATTGCGATAACGAGGGAGGGGGGTGAGGCTCTTGGACGCCAGCAAGAGGGGGGTTTGAGTCTTCGGGGTACGGAGGCCTGACGCCGTGTGGATGCTGGTTATGTGACATTGTAGAGGGAATCACTTGCGTATCGTGGGAGAGGTTGAGGTATCGCGAAGAGGTATCGTGGGATAGAAGAGAGAGGAGAATGAGAATGAGTTAAGAGCGCGCAAACGCGCGTCTGGGTGACGTTGACGTGGGGTATCTAGGCTACGAGGTGACGCGGCCAGGGCGTGTGAAGAGGGGAGATGAGCAATGCGATAAAGTGGCTCCGAGTGTGGTAGATGGCGAAGTCTATTAAAGTAGATTCTATGTCTGGGGGGAATCAAACGAGATTAATCCGGTGATGTCTGCGGCGGTCCCTGCTGCGTTATCTTATACTAATTGTTCTATGCTTTGTTCCGTTGAGGAAGGAGTAGTAGCAGATACAGACGACGAAGGGAGGAGGAGGGGATCTATGTACTCTAGGCACCGAGGTACGCCACACCCTTGGAACAGGAACCGGCGATGCTCGCCCTTAAAGATATTCCATGTTTCCATCACATGGGAATCGCAGTTAGGGGTTCTCCGTGGTCCGTGAGGCTTAGACACCCTTAAGGGCTTAAAAATGACCCTGAATTCTCCACCAGATGCCATAAACTGCTGATGTCATCGCCCCAAAGCTCCTGTGGCAAGAGAAGAGCATCAGCAGCTTAATACCTGGGTGCTCTATGATAGTTCTCCCGGTATTCTATCCTAGCAGCAGCAGCCCTTACTTTAATCCGTCATGGGAAACCGGTTTAATTTGTTATCTGATGCGTAGAACAAAACCGTATGAAACACTGCTGATTTTCGTCATCCCGCCTGACCCTGTCCAAACGGTGATCTTATGTACCTACATAGCCAGTGGTGCTAAGATAAGATAAGATAAGATAAGATTGCGACTGATGACAACATCATAGCTTGGCAGCTAGACACCAAAAGCCCTGCTTGCTCAAGGACGATCCCCTTATATCACAATTCCCCAGTAAGGCTCAGCTAAAGGTGAAATATCGTCTCTTCTTCGTTTAAGGTAAGAAAAAGAACATTTAATAAGAAAGATGACATTAACCTTTAGGCCAGTTGATGAATGATCACGACCTGGTTTGATCCTTATTAACCCTACACTACATCAAGTGGCCAGTAGCGAAGGTGTACAGGCTTTATGAGGATGAATTTCCTTCGATGGATCGAGAAAACGGCGGAGAAGGATGAAGCGTGCCCCGGATCGTGGGAAACGCTTCTCCCTCATAAGAGCAGGACGATATTCGCCAACATCCATTAATGATAATATTCGAAGTAGACAAAGATAAGCTTACCTCGCTTCCTCGGCATAACATTGGAGAAGTTCTAAGAGGAATCAGAAATATTTTATCAGGCATTACGAACAAGATTCACAAAATCCATCAAATACTATGGGGATACGATCTTCTGGTCACCGGCGGTAGAGTGCGCGCTTCGCCTACCGAAGGCACTCTGGCGCGCGTAGCATATAGAAGCTCATTGATAGAGGCATATGTTGCTCTCCTGTAGAGGCCATCTTTTTGTTTCTTGAACGGATGAAGGAGCCAAATTCCCATCGATTTACGAGTGATATCTGGTGAGTCAGCTTATCCGAGTGACGGCTCATGACTGCCAATGGATCTCTGATATACATAGAGTCTCTTCTAGTATAAAACTAGCTCGGATTTACTCTACTTTATATTATTTGAAGTGAAATCTGTCTGGGTTTCCTGGTTTCTAGTGAGTTGGATTGGGGTTGCGATTAACGTACATAGTCCAATTCAGGCCGTTATCCTGGTAAGCTGGGCCAGAGTGGGTAATACCCCTTACGTTGAAGTATAATTAGTGCCTATGTTCTTCAAATAGGCCCCATAATAACCTCTGTCGCAAATAATGCCATAGGACGAGCAAGAAATTTATCCGTGTGCAAGGAACTCAAATAGTTTCAGCGCGACTGCTAGGTTTTAGCTTGACACTTCTACAAGGAAAGAAAGCTCGGCCGCCGCAACAACATTCACATGGAAAAAGGAGTATCCTCCCAATCAATACTCGGCCTCTAGTCAGCGTTTAAATACCGCCAAATCTGGTCTCAAGGATCCTAAACACCAGTGCAGATGCTATGCCATATATCTACTAGAAGCCAAGGGCGATTCTTATTTATAGCCCCCGCCATCGAGTTTCCATCCGTGAGTCTTTACCTTTAGCCATTTTTGTGAGGTACATTGTGTACTTACACCACAGGTAAAGATTCTGGGGGCATAGCTCTTTTGGTTTCTTCCTACGCACGTCCAAATTATGTTACTCGGGGTTGCTGGTCCGTGTGTGTGTATATGGCCCGAAAATCCCGATCCTGGCTGGCCCCCTAAAGAAAAATAAAACCGAGATAGGCTCATCGAATATATTCATTCAATTAACATCCAATATCAGAAAGTCTCCAATAAAGGCTGGGGTTTTGCTTCTCGAAGTAACCGTTCGATAAGATGAGAGTGCGGATTCATCCTGTCTATGATACATACTCCTACTGGGGTCGCAAACTTTGCCTCGACTCGCTCCTCACGGGCCGACTTTGAACCCCTAAGGGCATGTCCTCAAATTAATAATACAACGACAAGCATCCCATATAAACCCTGTGCCCACGTCTGTCCTTGATAATCATAGAACCAGATAGTAGATAACGTTGGGCAAGTCTAAGATCCTTACGAACTTAAATATTATAAATTATATCGCACAAGTTACTCAGAACTGGACATATAGTGGGGACATTGATGCCAGATTCAGGCCTCTTCTCGGGAAAAATCAATAACTGTCTTCTCCAGTTTCAAGAGCTTAATTCATGATCAGCGAGCTAAAAAATTGAATCATATCAACGACATTGATGATCTTGAAATAAATAACAATCCCCTAGGGAATAATAAGAAACATACAAGCAGGTCATAATTCAAAGTAACTTCTCAGACCGAGGGAAGGCGACGAAGACCCCTAACTCCCTTGGTAACGACAGCGCCAAACCAACCAAATATCTCCCATCAATGGTCATCACCGGCAAGCGCCGTTTGAAACCATTGGTCACGGGATCAATAGAAACATTTTCTCTTAAACCCCCCCCATGATACAAACTTCTTCCGCCCCATTCCTCACAACAGCACTCGCGTTCAGCAATACTAGCAAGAACCAGAAAAAACCAGAAAACGCAAGTGACGAAGCATATGGAGTAGCGCCGCTCCGCCATACAAACCAAGCAATTGCATTTTCTGGTTTCCATCTGCTACAAGCCAGTACACGCGAGTAAATGCTGTAACCTCATACTAGCCGCGGCCATCACAAGCACACAATAAATAACCCGATCCACCCCTACGGCGGCGGCGGCGGCGGACTTCTGCGGCGCAGGCTGCGAATACGCTTCGTAGCAATCGTTCCCCCACTGAGTCGAGTTATAACCGGCAACGCCCAGCGCACCAATGCAGTCGAAGCAGCTGACCCAAAAAAAAAAAAAAAACCCACTCATCAGCTTTCTTCCCTCGTACAAAGTAGTTGGCATTCACTTCCTAGGCCCTAGCTAACCTGTTGCTGATTCTGGTGTATGACGAGTCACTGCAAACACACATCGTCTCGTCATAGGTCTTTGCCCGCGACTGGTCGAGATCAATGTCGTAGCCGCAGCTCGCAGACAGAGACCGGAAGTCGAGGCATGCCCCTGCCTTACAGGCGTCGGCGGATTGTGCGTGGATCGCGTGGATCGCGTGGCTCGCGAAAAGCACCAGGAAGAAGAGCAAGAACTGGGACTTGATTCCGGATATCAGCAGCATCTTTGTGTAGCAGAAGGCGGGGAAAGTTCGAAGAGGAAACTCATAGGGAAAGGTCCGCGGGGTGGGTGGGTGGGAGGGGGAGGGCTGAGATTTATAACAAAAAACACGTGCGGCTGACTGATCGTGCACTCTTGTACAAAATGTCTTACCGACACATGACAGAGATGCGTCTGGACCGATCGAGGCCGGCGTCGTGGACAGGGGGAGATTGGGGGAAATGATGGGGTGCGAGTGATAGTCTGTGTTTCGCCGCTAACCCCGCGCGTTAGACTGAATCTTGAACAAACAACTGCAGCCCTAGATACATTTAGGGTACATGTAGGCATTTTACGGGCCCTGGCTGTAGCGCGCGGCGGCGCCTACTTAAATTGCATCGCTTTTTGGCGCCTGAGATGCAACCCTAGCTAGATACACAACAATTAATTGCCTTCTCAAACAACACCGAATCACGCTATAGCTAGTTGAGAAATGTTTTAGACGGCCATTTCGTGATTACTAGCCCAGGAGGCGGTTCTAATTCTCAGTGGCTAGGATTAGGTGAGCAAACTGGCCATTGGTATTATATTGGAATTGTTAAGGTGGGACCCAAGCATAAAAACCAGCAGATATCAACATACTCCACACATGTAATTAGGTAATGGACATATGCGTATGTACTCCTACTACTAGCTCCGTCCGCTGGCCATCATCACCACCATCATCATCATCATCATCATCATCATCGAGCACTCACGCAAGCCTCTAGCTAGCTCTTCGAATTCGTCGAGTAGATATGTAGCAGTTACATGTAGGTACGGAAATACGCGCACCTGACTACATCACCGATGACCCTATCTGTATCTCCATCTACATGTAGGTACATACGCTCCAAGCACAGCAAACAAAGTGATGCATCGAGCTCAGTAGCCACGCCACATCGTGTTTCTCCCACATCGACTGCCCCTACAAACACCCACCAAGCAGCCATACCAAAACCAAATCAAACCAAACCAAACCAGAGACCACTCCTCTACAGAACCCCAGACATGACACTTCAGATCGCGACTGACATGACCGGTACCATCCATCACACTCACACCCGTATATTAGCCCGGTCTGCCTACCCTACTCTACGTACAATTCAAATGACTTCACACACACTACCCTACTCTACGTTCTGCTGGGTTGCAATCGTGCTCAGCACCAGCTCATTGGCCACCCACCAGCCAACCACGGGGTAATGCGGTATCACTTTTATACATACATATATAGGTATCACTTTTATACTCCACAGAGGATCGAAGGCCTCCTGTGGCTGGCTCCGGCCTTACCGCACGAAGGATTGGATTAGGGAGGTGCCTCTAGTGGTGCCCATAGGTAGCCACTCCCTTCCATCCAGAGGTTCGTCCGGCCATTGCATTCCAGTAATCACTATTGAATTCACCGCCCTATCTCAGCGCACCAAGTGTTCCACCTCTGCCGCGCACACCCCGAGTGAGTGAGTGAGTGAGTGAGCGCACCCCCCCCCCCCCCCCCCCCTCCCCACCTCCCCACCTCCCCACATCTTCTATCGGAATTCTTTCACTTCACGCCCCGCCCACGCCCACGCTCTTGCTCGCACAAGTGAAAATAGGCAGAAACAGTAGTAGCCCAAAATCGTATTCAAATCGACCTGCAATTCAAACAGCCCAAGCCCAAGCCCAAGCCCAAGCCCAGGCTATATACCTACAGCTAGCTCCCCAACTACTTACTACCTGCTACCTAAGCTATCAATCATGTCATGCCCTGCGTGTATATATATATATATAAAATAAAACTCCCCCTTCCCTCCGTCCAGTCATATCATAATAAAACATGTTCCCCATCAAGTCCGTTCGTTAAAAAAAATATTGTGTCGTGACCGTACCCCAACCAAGTGCGATAAAAAACCCTAAGCAAAATAATTACCCCAAAAAATAAATCGTAAAAAATAAATCGTAAAAAATAAATCGTAAAAAACAAATCGTAAAAAACATCAGTAAAAAAAACTCCCTCTAGCCAAAGAAAATGGAAAAAATAAAAATGGGATCGTTAGAACAAAGGAAACCGTTCTTCGTCTCGTATAGACGAATGCATCATATCATGTCAAAAAAACCAAAGTCGTCACACACACACTGCTCGCTCCCCATCAGCCATCAGTCCCAACTGCAAAAAAACACGTCAAAACAATCATTCCTCCCCCCCCTCCACGCCATCAAGCCAATCATGTAGTCACGCCATCTGCCCATCCCACACCACCTCCAACCTCAACACCGCATCCGGGAAAAAAATATCCAGCACCATCTCCTCCAGACTCTTCGACACCTCCTTGACCCTCATCCCACTGATCTCCTTCTCCGCCGGCCGCAGCGCCGTGCGCAGCTTACACCCCGCGCGCTGCTTCATCTCCCCGCCGCCGTTATTCCCGTCGCTCAGCCGCCCGTTAAAGATCTTCTCGCCCAGCGTCCTATCATCGTGGTCCGGCCCCGCCAGGTACAGCGTATACTCCGTCTCCTGCGGCCTCCGGCCCCCCATCCCCAACCTACTCCTCCCCGACGACGTCGCGGCCGTGGCCGCCGCCGCCTCTTCAGAAGAGATGGTACTCAGCGCCCCGCCACGCAGTCTTGTGCGGATCGTCTCCGTGTCGCTGTAGTACCCCTTCGGCCCCGCTATTGGGAACCTGCTGCTGTTGTTGTTGTTGTTGCGCACGCTCATGCCGCGGTTGATCTGAGCCTGGAAGCCGCTCGCCTGCACCACGTCCGCGATGGTCATGCCGCGCTTGCGCTGCGCCTCGAAGCCGTTCTCCTGCACGAAGGCGGCGGCGTCGGCGGTTGCGCGGTCGATGGCAGCACGCTTGCGCTCGACGGCGGTGGTGGGCTCGACGCGCTTCAGGGCGCGGCCGCGGCGCTCGGTGATGCTGCGCCTGGGCGTGGGGAGCGAGGACTCTTCGGAGGAGTCGATGATGGAGATGCCGTGCGGGGTGGCGACGGTGATGGGCGTGAGGGCCGGGTCGTCCTCGGTGTCGATGTGGAGGAGGGCGGGGGCGGGGGCGGGGGCGTGCTCGACGACGGCGGCGGTGCTGCTGCTGGCGGTGGTTGCGGTCTGGCTGGTGGCGGCAGAGGCGAACGAGTCGCGGACGGACGTCCCGCTGCTCTTCTTGAGGCCCAGGCCCGCGGCGGGTGCGGGTGCGGGTGCGGGTGCCGGTGCATCGGCGACGACACACTCAGCGGTGCGCTCGACCGACAGCGGAGACATGCGCTTCTGCGCGCGGGACCTCGACGAGACACGCCCGGCGACGTTCGGTGAGCCGCGGGGCGTGGTGCGGGCGCTGGACGACTCGCTGGCCGACGACCCCGACCCCGACCCCGACCCCGACCCGCGGCACGGCGGCAGCTCGACCATCGTCGGCGAGCCCGTGACGGATGTGACGGCCATGGCCATCGCCGTCTCGAAGCGCGCGATGCTGATGGGCGACTCGTGGCGCAGCAGCGAGCTTGTGATGTGGCCCGGCGAGGGCTCGCGGCTGCGGTTAGCGTTGCGCGCCGGGTTCTCGACGCGGGTGTAGCGCACCTGCGAGGGCGAGCGCGGCGGCGGCGGCGGCGGCGTCGTGTGCGTGGTGGCCTTGCGGGTGGAGCGCGAGACGGACCGCGGCACGGGGATGGCGCTCTTGGTGGCGGTGGACTCGACCGGGGCCGTGTTGGCGCGGCGGAGGGGCCCAAAGGGGCGGGATGCGGTGCCGGGGCTGACGGACTCGGCGTCGGACACGGCGGGTGCCTTGCGGACCTCCATGGCCGAGGCAGAGCGGACACGCCCGCCTCTCGCTGGGATCTCGGGCGTGGCGACGGGTCTCCTGGCCACGGAGGCAGACCTCGTGGGTGCCTTTGGCGTGGCGGGCGGTGCTGGTGGTGGTGGTGGTGCGGCAGCCTTGCGCGAGACTCGGACGGACTGCGAGCGGGTGATGGTGGCCATGACCGGCTTCTGCTGCTGCTGCGTCTTCTCCTCGGCCTTCGGGGCCTCGACCGGGCTCCCCCTCTTGCGGACCGACCTGGACGAGCCCGGGCGGGCGGCCGGGGATTCCCTCACCCTGGACGCAGACCTCGCTGGGACCGCGGGCGGTGCGTCGGCCGCCATGATGGCCGGCATGCGCTCGGCGACGACGGTGGCTGCTGCTGCTGCTGCTGAGGCCTCGGTGTGCTTGGTGCGTGTCTGGCGCTTGGGTGCCTTGGACGACGACGACGACTCCTTCGACGAGTCCTCGCTGACGGACGTGCAGCTGGACTCGGACGAGAGGTTGGGCGAGCCGGGCTCCGGGCTCGAGCTGTCGCCCGAGGAGTCGGTCAGCTTCGAGGGGGCGTGTGGGGCGTGTGCGGCGTGTGCGGCGTGTGCGGGCGGGGAGGGCTTTGGCGTCTGCCTTGCGGAGGCCCTGATGTTGTGCAGGTTCGATGCCGCGGTGCTGGGGCGCGAGAAGCCCGGCGAGATGGGCGACAGCGGTGAGCGGGGCGTGACAAAGCCGGACGACGAGGGAGGAGGGGCAGAGAAGGCGGTGGGCAGAGAGGCAATGAGGTTCTTGTGCGGGCTGCTGGTGTTGGTGCTGCTGCTATCATCAGGCTTCTCCCACAGCATCTTCTTGCACGAGTCCTCGATGATGCGCGACATCTTCTCGACGACAAAGTCCAGCATCACGGCGTTCTCGGGGCTGGCACAGCGGATCGTGGGGACGGTCCAGGCATGATATATATTCTGGTGGGCCTTGCTGACGGCGAATCGGCGCTGCAGCTGCAGAAACAGCCCACACAGGAAGCAGCTCTTCTTGCTGCAGCCAATGAAGCCGGGCCTCTCGATATCCGCATTCTCCTCGTAGAACTTGACCAGCTGCATCTCGGCGTGCGCCGTGGGCGCGCTCTGGCACAGGTCCTGGTACTTGCTGGCCAGCTTCTCGTTACTCAGGTCCGTGATGGTGCGCAGCCGGCTCATGCAGAGGGGCTCGGTGCTACTGGTCAGGTCCTGCGCCACAGCGCCAATGTACACGCCCTTGAACCCGGCCGCCACTCGCTCGTCCAGCGCCGGCAGCGTCGGCACGCTCTCGACGTCCACCAGCACAAACAGGTTGGGGAACTTCCTTGCGGCCAGCACCAGCGCGTTGCTCGCCGTTTTATAGCGTCCCAGCTTCTCGATCATCTGCACGAGTGCGCGCCGCGCCGGCACGGCCTTGAGCCCGCTCTTGAAGCTGCGCGAGCCGCGGAAGCGGTAGCAGGTGTCGAGCAGGCGGTCGAGCTCGCGGGTGCAGCGGGCTAGCTCGGTGCTCGTCACGCGCGTGCACAGGTCGTAGATCTTCTGCAGGCCGGCGTGGGCGTCGTCGTCGGTGACGGGGTCGGTGGACGTCTCGCTGTGGCCCAGGGCGTCCTCGAACTGCTCCGAGAGCGGGCGGGAGCCCCGTGTGAAGCGGTCGACGAGGTCGGCGTAGACCTTGGCTTTCTCGAGGTCGAGCACGTTGGCCCAGACGGCGGCTTTGATTTCGGATTCGGCTTGTTCTGTGGGTTGTTATGGTCTGTTAACGCCGATGTCTGAGATAGAGATAACTCGGGGTACGAAAAGAAGAAACATGGTGACGTGATCATTGATAGTGACCACCACCACCACACATCAAAAAATATCAAAATATCAAAAAATCAAAAAATCAAAAAATCAAAAAAAAAAAAAAAAGAAACAGATAATCCCTACCCCCGTTCGCCACCCTCCTCACCTCCCTCAACACATTCCTCAGCCCCTCCAACACGCCCTCCGGCACGCCCTCATTCATCGCCAGCCTAAACCTCAGCCTTCCCTCTCCCTCCTCAATACAGCACGCCGCGCCGCTCCCATCGCCGGCCGCCAGGAACGCAAAGTGGTCCGCAATCTCCCGCTCCGTCTTGTGCGGCAGCTTCCTCCTGCCGGCGGCCTCGGGCAGCTCGAGCGCGATCGGGTGCTCGTTGGTGATGGGCGCGGGGCTGACCAGGCACTGCAGGGCTACTAGTTGCACGAACTTCTTGCGCGAGCGCTCGGGCCACGTGAAGGTGTTGGGGTCGGCGGGGACCTCGAGCTCGACGGGCGAGGGGCGCGAGGAGGCGCGGCTGCGCCGGCGGATGGACATGGGGTGTGGTTGTGTGGTTGTGGTGGGTGCGGGTGATGGGTGGTGATTGGAATCCTAGTTTGGTGTACTGGTGAGCTGCTCGAGAGTCATGAACACTAGCTAGCTGGCTACCTAGATTGATTGATTGATTGATTGATTGATTGATGGGTATGGTAATCAATCCAGTAGTATATAGTAGTAGTAATCGTAGTAGTAAGTGAGTGAGTGGGATTCTTCTCTCTCTTAAACTATTCTTTCCCTTCTTTCTTTCTTTCCCTTTTTTTTTTTGGAGGTATATATGTATATATATATCTTTCCAGATCGAACCTTACCAGAAGGTATGAGCGTGGGTGTGGGGGATCGGGGGAAGGGGGGGATATAGACGAGATGAAGTACGTAGTGGAAGAAAAAAAAGGGGAAAGAACAGAACGGTTTATTAAAAAAAAAAAAAAAAAAAAAAAGAGGCTTGCTGCAAGCAGAATCAGTAGTAAGTACAATCAGGCATTCTTCTGCTGTTCATATATAGCAAACGCCCGCCTGCCTGCCTGCCGCCCGCTCCAACCTTAAGCGGGTTTTGCAGCAGCATTTTGCAGCAGCAGCCACCTCTCACACTCACCCTCCCCCCCCCCCAAGAAAAAACTCGGAGTGAGTGAGTGTCCCATGTAATGTACCCCACAAGACATGAAGGGAAAACCTACTTCTGTTTCTTGCCAATGGGTGCGTCCACGTCAACGCCAAATGTGTGTGTGGTGTGTGGTGTGTGAGTTGAGAGAGAGCGTGTGTGTCTCTTTTTTTTTTCCCTCCTCCTCGCAGGACGGAGGCGATAGGCCCATAATTCAATTTTGCCCGGGGGCACAATTAATCGATTGGGGGAAGAAAGGCGTGGCTACCAACTTGCTACTGCTGGGGTGGGAGATCGATAGGCAGGATAAAGTAACTGGGACCGATAAATGGCTTGTGTCGCAGGGCAGGCCGGTTTGTAACAGACAGAACAGACAGACCGTTACGACTGGCACAAACCGGGGGGGGGGTGTTGCTGCTGTTGCGGGGGGAGGGAGGGATTGACCTGTAGGTACTGGGGCTGGGGGAGTGAGTGAGGGCTCCAAGCTGGAAGAAGGAAAAAACGCATGTGGAATACCGTTACGGGGTACTCAATTGCTATGTATCTAGAGTGGTTGCGATGCACCGGTATGTAAGTACTGTGTGAAGGGATTGTAGCCTGAGCTGGTTAGAGTAGGTACTTAGCTACCTAGCTACCTACTGTGCTGTACTGTAGACACAGCTATGTACTCTGCTCTGCTCTGCTCTAGCTGTAGCTGGCAGTGGTTCGTCCGCTCTCCCGACTGCAGATGGCCAGCAAGCAAGCAACCTCGTCTTGAGTCCTGACCCTACATACCCTAGATACTCTCTACCTAGCTACATCATGCGAATAGATATTTTGTAGAAGGAGGAGTTCGGGTAGGTAGGCAACAGAGCATCCAGAAAGAAGAGGACGGAAGTTAACGGTCCATCCAAAAGAAGCCGCACCCGCAGGAATCACAGGAATGGCTTCACCATCGTGCCCACAGCCACCTCCACGGAAAAACGGACACGCAAGACGTACCCTATGTGAGAGCAGGTTATCATAAGTAGGTACAAGTAAGCAGGTAATAGTAAGCAGCAGCAGAGCAGGTACTTTGGAGAGCATGTGTGTGTGTGTAGGTAGAGTGTGTACCTATTTGCGTGTAGGTAGTCAGGTTAGGTATATCCGGTATGTAGAGTGGGAAGGGTATGGCTGGTATGGTATGGCATGGTATGGTATGGTATGGTATGGTAGAGTGGACTCGCATATCGAAGAGCATGAGGCAACTATCTCGACATGGCATTGATGAGCACGCCCTCAATCTCTCTCTATGTATCGCCCATCATCATCCTCTACATGCCTAGAGTACACCATGTGCTCTACACCGCCCCCCCCCCCCCCCCCCCGTCTATCCATACCATTAATTCACCACAATACCTGCTCGCTCTCTACATATACATACATCCCCTCGTATCGTGCTGTCTCGCCCAACCAGAAAGCAGCCGCCCACATCTGCGCAGGCAGCCGAAGATCGGGGTGAAACCGAAATAGCCCTCTACTCTCTAGGGCAGAGTACAGCACCTACTCTAGAATACTTACCCCCCCCGGCTCCCCTCCCCCCCGCGACGGAGAATTTCTGGCTGATCCCCTCCCCCATCGCGCTGATTCGCCCGCTGGCTGGGCGGAGGTGGCAGCAGCCAGGTGGTTGTGAGACAGCGCTAGCGCGTCGAGGGGCCAGAAAATGGGAAAAACTTACCTCCGTTCGCATGGCTGCTGCTGCGGGCATCAAGGTAACTCTGGAATACCTGGAAGGAATATCCCTTTTGTCGGTCTGCCCCATCACTGCTCTCCCAACAGTATCGCTCTCGGTATCTATGTATCTCTATCTGTATGCTGTATACCAGCTCTATGTATGTATGTATGTACCTCGGGAAAGGCTTCTCTTCTCTTCCCTTCCTTCCCTTCCCTTCCCTTCTCTTCTTCTCTTCTGCTTCCCTAGACAGACAGCCGTATTTATCCGCCCGTACGTACGTCGCTCTGCGGACCAGTTGGAGAAATGATAGCACATACCACTAAATAAAACTACATACTATACTCTATTTCCCGGTATCACCACCACCAGCACAAACCACAACCACCACCACCGCCGCCGCCGCGCTAGTTATAGGTCGGTTTCATGTTTTGGACTGGTGACGACAGGACAGTTTGGCCAAAGCGAAAGAAAAAAAAACTGTTCATGCCTTGAACGACGTGACGTGATGTGCTGTGCTGTGTTACAAAACATAAATCACCAGTTTTAGGTTTTAGGTTTGATGGCTAGCTGTCTCTCTGCTGTAGGTAGGTAGGCGCTATAGCTATAGCTAGTTACAGTTGTTTTACAGCTGAGCTTGTTTTATGTAGCAGTATGGAGTAGCGGTATGGAGTATGGGGGGGAGGTACAGATATCTGTTTGACCATGCAACAGAGCTGTCTGTGGCGTAATGTACTGGGATATCTCTTCTTCCATACCTCTACCTACATACATATATAAAAAAAAATGGCTTTTTACGAGATGATACAAACGCCCCTAGAGTAGCTAGAGTACTCTCTGCGCATGTTGAGATTTTGTGAATTGTGACATACCTGTGGCTACTCTACACCACCTCAGTGGGGGGGGGGGGGAGGGCACCTGCTCTCCTCTCGGTATTTACCCATAAGTCTCCACCTAGCTCCACCTGGCAGTGGAGTGGAGTAGAGTATGTAGGGAGGATGCCATTGCCGGTGCAATGGCCATTGCATGTCCTCTGCTTTGCTTTCCTACCTAGTCCATTATGCCTTGTGCTCAAGGAGGGGGATTTACGCTGCAGAGCGGAGTGGATATGTGGGTCACGCTGCGCTGGGTTGGAGGGGAGAATGGTGGGTTGGGTTTGGGTTGGGTAGATCACAGCTGCAATGATCGTCGTGTCGGGAAAATATGAAACCAGACGGCGGCCGACGACGAACGATGAAGCAGCAGCAGGAGAACACGAGAAGAAGCACAAGACGAGATGAAGAAGAAGAAGAACACGAGAAGAGAAGAGAAGAGATGACTGCAGATTCTTTTTTTTTTTTGGTCATTTGCTATGGAATATTATTCTACAGACCAGCAGCTACCCTACGAAAGACAGAAAAGAAGAAAACATAAAACCTAAAAAAAGGAAAAGAAAAACCACTACTTTTCTACCCGCCCCTCTCCCCCTTCATCCTCTTCTGCGGGCTCCCCGCCTCCTCCCCTTCCTCCCCCTCCTCCTCCTTCCTCTTCTTCCCCCCCCTCCACACCCCCCTCGCCTCCACCCTTCCCACAACCGGCACCACCCTCGTCCCCACCAACACACACCCCTCCCCCCCGCCCCTACTCGTCATCACCGGATGCGTCCTCCCCGGCAAAACCTGATACCGCCTCGCCCTCACCTCCATCACCGTCGGCGCCAGCAACAACGTCGGATCCAGCCCCTCGCCCCCTCCCGCCGCAATCCAATCCGCCTTCCGTGCACTACTATACAGATCCGCGCACTCCACCACGGGCTCCCTCGAGCTGCCATACACCACCACCTGCGCGCTCCCGCGCAGCAGCGGCACCGCCCACCGCAGCACCCCGGACAGCTCCATATACCCCGCGACCAACAGGCCATCGAACCCGCCGGCGGCGGTGTCGTCCGCGATGGCCTTGACGTGCTGCCAGCGGCGCAGCTTGCGGTAGTAGGCGCCGCGCTTGCCGCCCTTGAGGTCTGCGAGGCCCGGCGGCTCGGCGGGGCGCTGCAGCGTCATGTCGGACTGGGGCGAGACGACCTGCAGCCAGTTGAGTGTGTACAGGTGTGTGTGCAGCGGGTGGGAGGGCGTGGGGTTGTTTGTGTCGTAGGAGAAGTATTTCAGCAGCGAGAGGTTGGGCTGCTCGTTGGGGTGGATCAGGGTGATTGTGTTGGCGGTCTTGAGGGGCGCGGGGGCCGGGGGGTGGCGCGGTGGGGGGCGCGCAGAGGGGGTGCTGTCGGCTTCGGTGGTGGTGTCGGCGGGTTCGGTGTCGTCTGCGAGGTCGGCGCTTTCGGTGGCAGCGGTGGTGGTGGGGTCGGGCGTGTGGTACAGCAGTCCCATCCTCTCTGCCACAGCGGCTACTAGGAGGCCGCCAGTCTCATCGACCACCAGCCAGCGGCCGCCGTAGTGGACGTTCCCCAGCGAGAGCATGAGGCCGAGGGTCTCATCGCGGAGGTCGAGGATCTTCTGCGGCTCCTTCACCTCGAGGAGGTAGTTGTTGAGCGCGCTGACGGTCAGCGGGAGGACGGTGAAGCGGCGCAGGAACTTTTTGGTCTTGCGCAGGGTGTACTTTTGCAGTGAGAAGGGCGTCTTTTGGTGCAGGGCGGTGTGCGAGGAGAGGAGCTTTTGGACGAGGTCCTGTGGGGGGGGGGGGGGGGTTAGTTTTGTGGGTTTGTAGATAGACTGTAGATATGTAGATGTTCTATAGAGCAGAGTGGAGATAGGGCAGGACTGTAGGAACCCGCAATTGCAGTTCCAATTGCAATTGTTGGGATTGTAATCGCAATCGCAGAAGCAATGCCGTGCCAATGATCACGGCGCCACATTCCCACACTCACTCCCCCATCCCCCAAAAAACACACGCAAAAAAGAAAAAGAGATAGAAAAACATACCCTCCCCGACCCCGACCCCAGCTTCTTCGCCTCCTCAATCTCCTCCCAGCTCATCTTCTGCGCGGCCGGATCGTCCACCGTCTCCCTATTATTCCTCATCGCCTCCTCCGCCTCCTCCCGATAGTGCTCGCCGGCCTCCGCCTCTGCCTCCTCGCCGCCCAGCACATCCCTCGTGATCTCGGCGGCGCTCACCACGCGCAGGCCAGACTGCGGCGCATCGAGAATGTCGAACGTGAGGTTGTACGGGCGGTAGAGCAGCGCGTTTGCGGGGAAGGACCCGAACTTGCCGAGCGAGATTGTGGTGTCGGGGGTGATGACGAGGATGCGCGGGGCGCCGGAGGGTAGGCGGAGGAGGATGTGTGTGTGCGGGAGGATGAGGTCGTGGGGGGATGCTGCCATCTTGGTGCCTGTGTTGTGAGTGGAGGGGAGGGGAGGGGAGGGGAGGGGAGGGGAGGGGAGGGGAGGCGGGCAGATGCAGAGATGCAGAGATGCAGAGATGCAGAGATGCTTCACACTGACAGTCAGAGTGGCAGAGAAGAGAAATTGAGAGGCCTGCGGAAAATTGTGGGTTGCGGATGCCAAGCGATGGCTCCGGTATAGCGAGGGGGTCAGGGTTGTTCCGGGCGGTGGGGACGGGGGTTAGGGGTGTTGTTTCTGGCGGTAGGGCTGGGAATCCGGGGATGGGCCATGGATGGATGGATGGATGGATGGATGGATGGTTCTCTCTATGGTGTAGGTACAATACCAATACCAACACCAGTACCAGCACCAACACCGAGAGACATGTACCCATCACTAAATTGATCCGTGTGAGGGCTGCATCATATGCAAGTGCTCTGCCTTGGTGATGGCATATCGCGATCCGATCCATCTGTTTCTCGTCCCACCGGGTATGCACAAGACGGTATTTGGTAGTGGGTAAAACAAAATTGCATATCCATAGTTGTATCCCTATATATGCACTCGATCTCATCGTTTTCCAGACGGCGGGGTGGTGGGGGAACACAATTATCATTATCATTATATTTATATATATGTGTGTCTAACCCCCCCCCCCCCCTTTCCTCCCCTCTCTCTCCCACACACACACAGCGGAAAAAAACAAAAGTCGAGAACTGGTCTGTTCGATCTGATCGAACGTCTCCGGGAAAAAAAAGACGATTCATCTTGGGGAGCTAGAGATCTGAGGGATATGGCACCCCACCCACACATCCACATTCAAGATATTCCATCGAGCTAGGTACTCCAACGTCCCCGGGTGAAATGCAGAAGTGAGGGGTCGACGACTTCTTACTGAGATGAATATATGACTCCCGCCAGCTCGCAGTAGTTACATGTAGTTGGGCTGATAAATTTACACATCCGCAGTATCCTCATTGGTGATATCATCACTGGGCAGTCGACATCGGATCGTTGCTCGTGCGATTTGTCTATGTATGCGGGCTTTTAATTTTTGGATGATGATGGATGAGGGGCCAGCCTAGTCTGCGCAGCCTTAATGGCGGTGCCTTATACTCATCCAAAAGGTCCTCGGATCCTCTCATCTCGTCTCGTCTTTCTCTAGATGCCTCTTCTAATCTTTAGCTAACTAGTCGCATCTCATCTATCCATTCCTTTTTGCTCGGGGCAAGATTAGACCCACTATGGGTAAAACTATCTGGTGACATCTCTTGCGGCGGATCGACCCTTAGGGCTCCGAGGATATGCAAATACTGCAGCTCTGTACCCTCGTATACCGCGCTTTCAGTAATTCCGTATCCATATGAGGCAACACTTGACTCAAGCTATGCCTTTGGGTGTATCTCAGTCATACTGGCTTTTCTCGGAGTTCCGAAAAGGCATGTGCGCCGAACCAGCATGCTTATCAGAATCCTGAGGGCTGAGACCTTACGCCGAAGCTCTCACTATTGATGGTCGATATATATAGCTCTAATAGTCCTGTGTACTAATTTATGATATCTCTTTTCCGGAAAGGATAACAGAAAATCATGAGACCTAGACTTTAAATTGTTTGTTGGTTATTGGTATGAACTATTTAGTACAACATATATGGAACTCCTTGTAAGAGCGCATGGCCGGTCGTCCAAGATGAAAGCCTTATTATAAGAGTGATGTTGTTAACACTCCCGGTTACACCATTTCCGTGTAACATTTTGTCTGGTAACGGCACCTTTCGCTTTTTGTCATTGTGGGCCAGATAGACGGGGTATTATGACTATTTGCAGCTGATTAGAACATTGCTGTTTTAAACTCTTCAGTGCCCTGCTCTCCTATGGAGCTCATGGGAGCGACTGAGTTATCCTTGCCAATCTAGAAGATGAGTACAGCCAGAGCAAGTAACTTATGCTCTTCCGGAATACAAAGCCAACCCAGAAAATCTTATATAGCTAGTGATAGGCGTATTCCAGCAGCCATTATCTTTCTGGTACTAGATAGCATTTCTCGTTCGGTATTTATGTGCCCTTTTAGCTCTAATCATAAAACAATGGCCAGTTTAGAAATCCAAAGACGCCCCAAGAGGATTGTTGAAGATAAACTTGTACTTCTCCTCTATGAGAAAGTCGTTTGATTTCCCACAGAAAATAGCCGGCTAAGACGAGCGTTGCATATTAGCTTGTCCTTACTCCATATCGAGTATAGGCTTGATGCTTTCGACTTTGAAAATAGTCATCCAGGCGGATAACCTGAAGCCACTTTTTCTTTCCTACTATGGATTTTTCGTTTTTAGTTTTTACTTTTAGTTGGTTCCAGCAGTTCTTACTCCTTGAATCTCGTATTATCTAGCGAGACTCCCTTCGGAGAATCTATTCCTTATTCATTGTTTGATTTTGCTACTGGTCATAAGTCCTGCGCCATTCGCGATTCTATTGGCAGAGGAACCTCAAGGTGGACACACAGCGGAGCCCCGATAGTGTTATACTCGTTAGTAAATGACATATCCTCAATAGTAGAACTGCTTGAGGCGTCCCCGGCCATCTGCTACTATCGAACTCCACTGTACCCCATAGCGTGAGAATTAGGTTTTCTCGTCTCATAGGCAGGATCATGAGCTATCACTCGAAGAATTTTTCACTATGCTCAAGCCTGGCGAGTCCATAATAGCGTCGGTTCATCTCGGCCCTTTATCTTCAATGTATAAAAGGTGTATCCCTTGACCTGGTGAGATCTGCAGACTCGGGAACCCTCAAACAAGGTCAAGGGATAATGTTTTGATCCTATAGTGCGTCAACATTTATGTGCAGGAAGGTAAAGTCAAGAAAAGGAATATTGGCGGTTGCTTGATGCTAACCAACTCGATGAGCATATGACTCCGTTAATCACCATGATATCATGATGGAAGACATCGGTGTCTTTGATTGAGTCGGATCGACCGCCAGCATCAGACGGATGACTGGCAGATGGGATCATTGATCCATGATTCGGTGACTAGATCTTTTTTTCACTCTTTTCTTGCCCTTGGTTTTCGGTTTAGATGAAACTTGCTTGGTTACTGGATCTCCTACGATGGATATGGCGATGGTCTGGTGGTGGATTGATGATGGATGATGATGAAAAGGGTTGGGTGATGGGAAGAAGGTTGAGTGATGGGGTGTACGCGTGTTATTTACTCCTCCTTCCTACCTGTCACCCGACAACTACGCCGCTGTGTAGTATAAGAAGGCCTGGGACCAACCTTAACCCAAGCACCAGCGTACAGCCACCCTGCTCAGTCTTACCATCGGGGGCCAATGCATCGACTCTAAAACGGTTTACATACATAAATAAACGCACCGGCCACCTCCCGCTTGGGTGGGCATCATGAACTCTATCTCGGCGTCCGATAAAATACGGAAGCGAGATAAGTGCCGTCTTCTTCTCGCCGGTCTGATACTCTAGCTGTCCAGCCTTGCCTTTCTATCATCTGGTCGCCCCCCCCCCCCCCCCCCCAAGGTCTTTCTTTCCTTTTCACGGAGGCAAAAGGGGAGTAGTTCCCAGCCTGTGAAGATAAGAGCTAACCCGTCCTCTCTAGATCCACTCTGGCTGGCCTAGGGTCCAGGAAGGGTAGGAAGCTTGTGTTGTGGTTGCTCTAGGTTTTCTTCTCCCTCCATGGGGATAATAATAGCCCACCAACTCCTTCTTGCCCCTCTTTTCCTATGGACCCATACCGAGGGCTGGGCCCTGTGCGCACTCTATGAGCGTTACAGGCTTGTCTCTCCCCTGCAGGAAAGAGCACCACCATTCTTCTCAACCCCCTGGGGTGTTGGATCTCACCGAGGGCTCAAGAAGAGCGAAGATTTGTAGTTTGGTTCCTGTGGGTTCCTGTGGGTTCCTGTGGGTTCCTGTGGGTTCCTGTGGGTTCCTGTGGGTTCCTGTGGGCTCTGTACATGCCGCACTCTACCTCTCTCTTCACTGGAGGGTTACAATCAAACTCTTTCAGCCTACCTTAGGTTTTAGATCTAACCAAGGGCTCGAGAAGAGTGAAAAGATTGTTTGATAGCTTTGATGGGCTTTCTTGTCCCTCCCTTCACGGGACAGGCTTCATCGATTATTTCGCCCCTATCAGCCTAATGATAGGTAACAAGGGTCTTTAGGAGTGGAAATATTGTAACGCGGGCTTTTTGATCCGCAATATCGTCATCTTAGCGAACAGAAGACAGCGAGGCGACAACGATAGCTGCAGGTTTTTAAGGGAATTGGGCATTTTTCAAACTTCTACCAACAAAACCCACAGCGATACCACCATTATAGTACTCCAACTCACTCCAGCTATATATTAACTTCTTAAAAAAAAAACTGAAAGCTTTAGAAATTATCCTACCATGAATTGATCACCAAATATCACTCGGCCTTGATTCCTGCCCTTTGCACGATCTAGAACCATCATTCGGCAGTAAGTACAAGTAAGTACAGCTGCAGTATATATTTACTCGAACCAACCTAAATTATGGAGACAAATATTTATATGGCTCAAGCCTAATGGCTAGAGCTAGGTTCAATCCTTGACTCAGGCTCTTCGATGCGAAGCTCGGAATTAGGATAGGTTGTAGATTTTTCAGGTGCATGTTGTGAACCGAGAGGGCGAGTTAACATCTAACCACATGTGCACATACATGTATACATGTGCTGCAGCTGCAGGTGGGCGCTTATGACACTTGAGCTATCACCACGTAGGCCTAGGCTTACACTCGCTCGGTTAGTGTGGAAGAGAGCTCCCCAAAATCTTGCCTCGTGCTCAAAATTACCCTTAATTTTCTATTCTTTCTGCTAGAATAGACACTACCAACACTAGTCTCGGTCTCAGTTGCGGACGCAAAACATGATACCATGGCATGCCCGTGACATCAAGGTTTTGCACGTGAAAGACTTACAGCCTTCTCAACCCCCCCTTCAACTACTACAAGAAGCTTGGACACCTTACG